GATCCACCTGCCGTAGCTGTTCGCCAACTTCTGTGCCAGCAGTGGCCGATCACGATAGGCCTGAGGCCGCCAACGGTCCCTTCTGAGTTGAATATCTGGTGGGGTGCCAGAGAATCCCCATTTGGCATCTTCCCACGTAACGCAACTGATATGGAAGTCGATGGACGGTGAGTCCGCGCTCGGAGTCTGTGTTGTCGGGGATGTGTTCGTAGTCGTTGTGCCTGGATCCTGCTCGATGAGATCGAAACCATGCCGAAGTACAGGTTCCAGCGCTTCGCGTCTCTGTTGGCGTCGTGCCTGCTGCTTACTCCGTTTGCTGTCCAGGTCCTTCTGCTTCTTCGGCCTCGGCACCGTGGGCAACGCTTTGGGAATGTCCAGCGTGCGGTGCCACCATCGCTGCTTCTTGCCAGCCAGCCTGATGCGAAGCCCACAATGCGTCGCCCATGGTACCGTCAGCTCTTTGGTAATGGTAAGCCCTTCCTTGCAGCCCGCGGCGACGACGCCGTAGTCGTAGAGGGAGCCCTTGCCTTTGTCGCATGTGACCTCCTCTGGGCCCGTGACGATCTCGCCTCGCATCTGTTCTAACCAACCAGATGCGAGCAGCTCAGTAGGGACGCAGTTCCAATCCGCCACGACGAGCCATGGGTCCTTCAACAAGCGCACAAAGGCCGTGAGGGCTGCCATGACCTTTCGGTTCCTGCCCGTGAAACGCAGGGTCGGTAGTAGGTAGGCCGCGATGATGATGAAATTGCCGATGCTGAGGTGCAGCACCATGGGGGAGAAACCGACGAAGGCCGAGTCCCCTTGCTTGTCGTGCTTGCCCTTCCAGTGCTCCAGGGACGTGGACTGTATGTGTGCGCGCGTGGCGACGAGTTCACCCGCGGACCATCCTTTCTTCGACTTGCCACTGGGGACCGCAGGGGTAATTGTCGCCTTCCATCCTTCTTTCTGCAGGAACGTCTTCATGGCTGAGACTTGGTTTGGCCCCTTGTGCGTTTCCACAAACGCCAGGCAATCGAACTGCTGCACCGCTGGGCCTTGCACGTAGTTCTGTACCTGTGGGCCCCACTCCGTGATGTTGCCGAACAGGACCTGGAACTCCTCGCTCTGCTGCTGGGTGGAGTGCGCCTCGCTAAAGCCCAGACTGCTCAGCACCATCAGCCAGACCGTCAGCTTGCACATGAGCTTCGCGAGCCTTGCGCCTCTCAGCCCGAGCCTGCTCCAAGGCTGCTTGATTGGCGTCCCTGATCTTCTTCTTCTCGTCCTCAGGGTTGATGGCTGTCGCACCTGTGCCGTTGCTTGCGGTCGCTGGCGATGCTGTGGTGGGTGCCTCAGACGCAGGGGGTTCCTCTTCCACTGCCTCCGCCTTGGGTCCTTCTGTTCCCGCTTCGAACTTACGCTTCTTTTTGGGGGCCTGCATTGCCTTCTTTGCCTTCTGGTGGATCTCCTCGATGTACTTGAACTTCGCCTGCAGGGTGCCCAGCTGCTCCTTCTGGAACTGCTCCAGCTCGCTCTTCCACTGCATGATGCTGTCCATCTCCTCGGTCGGTATCTCGCACTCCTCGAGGCCCTCGAAGAGTGAGCCGTCGTACTCGAACTTGACGTTGAGGGTCTTCTCATCGGGTTTGACCACTGGGCCAACTTGTCCATCTTCTCGAGCTGGTCGTCCAAGTACAGCTGCGCGCCCGTGAGCTTCGTCCGCTGCTTCTCAATGCGATTGTCCAGCTCCTTGAGCGCGCGATTGGCGTCCGCCAGCAGCTGGGCGCCCGTACGCTGCTTGGGTGGGGCTGGCGCAGGTTTGGCGTTGGCCTCCTCCTCTTGGGCTTTGCGACGCAACAAGTCCAAGGCGGCCGTGATGGTGGGGTCGCCCTTCTCGCCGACGCCCTGGTACGCAGCCAAACTCGTGATGAGGGAGACCGTGGAGATCGGGTCGGACTGTCCGCCATCGCCCTTCTGCGCCTCCACGGTGTCCCAGCCAGCCTTGGTGCTTGCGTACGTGGAGTGCCGCCAAGGTGCCCACTTCTTCCACTGCCGTCCCGAGCGTGGCCAACCCGCAGAATGAGGTCCATTCTGTGCCCAAACTCCAGACGGTGGCGGTGGGACGCCGACGGCGGGGCGGAGCTTCGCCTTGCACTTGAAGCACTCGACTTTGCTGCTCCAGTTCCACTTGTAGCCGCACGCTTTGCACCCAATATACCCCGCTGCTTTGCTAACATCTCCCATGCCGCGGGTCGCTGTGCAACAGGAGTGCTCACCTGCGGGCTGCAGGCGGCACGCAGAGTCCTGGGGCGGACCAGGCTCTGCGAAACAGACAGGGTATGCCGCGGACTAGCGGTATCCAGTTTCGCCGATGCGGGCTCCGCCCGCAGAAGCATTAGCCTTGAGCCAAAATGGCTACGGACGGAGGAGGAGGAGGAGGAGGAGGAGGAGGAGGAGGAGGAGGAGGAGGAGGAGGAGGAGGAGGAGGAGGAGGAGGATCGGTTAAACGATAGTTACCCACCGAGAAGAAAAGAGCCCCTAGCCCTAACAGCACAGTGAAGACGTGGCCTCTGTGAGGTCCCCGCCTATTTCTGTTGGCTCGGCGCGGGGGCCTCCCCTGGTGGCGCCTCCGGCGCCGCCCCTGGCGCGCTCCGTGCGCCAGGGAGGATGGGCCCAGCGCTCATCCGAGAGATCCGCGTTGACCTCCGAGAGATGATGTGTGTGCCGTCTTCATGACGCTTCCGTAGCAGGGAAGGTAGTCTGGCTCAAGAGAGAGAGCGCCGCACGCACGGGAGCGCGGCCGCGGGGGCGCGCCTCCGCAGCGGCGGCCAGCGCCCCGTGGCCAGGCCGGCAGGGCGCCGCGCGCCCCCCCGCGCCCCGCGCCGATGGACGTGCTGGGCTCCTCCGACGACGAGGGCCGCTTCGACGACGAGGGCCGCTTCGAGCCGTCCGACACGCAGGTGGCCAACCTGGCGTCCCTGGTCGAGTGCGACCCCGCCGTGTGCCGGAGGGCGCTGGGGCAGGCGAGGGGCGACCCCGACCTCGCCATCCACCTCATCTTCGACAAGAGGGTCGAAGTGGCAGCGCCCTCGCCCGCGGCGGCGGCGGCGGCGGCCGTGCCGACGGCCCTGCTGGCGGCCCCGGCCGCGCAGGCCGCGGCGCAGGCCGCCGCGCCGCCGGCCGCGGCCCGGCGAGCCGCCGCGTCCCCCGAGGGGCCGCTGCCGGCGCCGAAGCGGGCGAGAACGGGGCGGCGCGGGGCGGCGGAGGGCGGGGCCCCGTGGAGGCCGTTCGAGGACGGCGGCGTCGGCGGCGAGGCGTGGGCCCGCGGCGTGCTCCGGAACGCCCAGCCGGGCCTGTCGCTGCGGGGGCTGCCGGACGCCGCGACGTGCAACGCGCTGGCCAAGGCACAGGGGCGCGGCGTCAGGACGGTGCACGAGGCGCCGGAGGACATACCGCCGCCGCTCCTGGGCGGCGACAGCGAGGAGGACGGGGCCGTCACCCGAGGCATCGCGCTGCGGTACCAGTTCGAGGCCCTGCTGAACGAAGTGCGCTACCCTCCGAGCGCCCTGCAGTGCAGCTGGCGGCTCCGGCCGACGGGGCACCCCGTGCCCGAGGACCTCGTTGACGACGTCCCCCCGCGACCCTTCGAGCTCCGGAGCAACGCGGACAGCGCCCCAGCGCCTCAGCCGCCGCACTTCGCGCAGCACCCCCTGCGCCCAGAGCAGCTCAAGAGCCTGGGCTGGATGCTGGAGCAGGAGTGCGGTCGTGGCCCGTTCCAGGTCGAGTGGCGGCGCTATTGGACCACCAAGCCCGAGGAGATCGACGAGAACGCGTGCATGAGCCTGGTGTCCCGCGGCATGCGGGTGTCGATTACGCCCGCACGATGCCTCAAGAACAGTCCCCAGGAGAAAACGGTGTGCACGGTCAAGAAAGTAGGGAGGTCTGCGGTCACTGTTTCGTCGCCTTCTGGTGACGACATCGATTGCCCTGTCAGCAAGCTCGACGGCTTCTCCCCTCACGAGATCATGCCGTTGCCGCTGGAGGCTGGATGCCTCGTGCGAGTTCGCGGGGACGTGGCCGTCCCGAAGTACGGCTGGGGAAACATCGACCACGATTGCTTGGGAGTGGTGAAGAGCGTGCAGAACGAGGATGTGCTCGTCTTGTTCGACAAGTCCGTGCGGGCCGGGACTTGGGTCGGGATGAAGAGCGAGATGGAGAGGGTGTCCCTTGACACGGCGGGATCGAGCAACAACATGCACCCTGAGCTCCGGGTCCAGGCTTCTTACGACGTGAGGGGCGGCATATTGGGGGACAAGATTGGCTTCGGGAAGACGGCCACGACCATCGGCCTGATCGATGCCACGTCCGCGTCTCCCCTGCCGGCGGTCCCGGCGATCGATAGGGGCAGGTTCATCCCCGCGAAGGGCACGTTAGTGATCGTGCCCGAGGACCTCTTCGAGCAGTGGCTGACCGAGATCTCCAAATTCACGTGGGATGGCCAGAACCTGAAGAAGAGGATGTCCGGGGGCTGGTCTCCTGCCAGCTGCCCCCTGCGGGTCTTCGCCGCCTGCGACGTGCGCGCCGTCGCCGCGGCGAAGGCCTCGGCGCTGGCGGAGGCCGACGTCGTGCTCTGCTCCTACCGGCTGCTGTACTCGCAGGTTTACTTGAGCAGGCGGAGAGAGCTTGTGAATTGCTGCGCAGAACTGGGAGCGGTCACGGCGGGGTCATCGGCGTTGCACAAGCTGGAGCTGGTCACCGAGTCGCTCATGCAGGGTCACGGCCAATTTCATGTGCCCAGCGGCAAACCCGTTCTTGAAGACCGGCGCTACGAGTCCACATGGCAAGAGCTGAGGTTCCCCCTCCTGGAGATGTTCTACTGGCGCAGAGTGGTCTTCGACGAGTTCCAAGAGCTGGAGAGCTTCGAGAGCGCCCAGCAGAACATCCTGCAGCACCTCCGGTCGCACTTCCGGTGAGGCCTCACCGGCACTCCTCCCGTGGACACCACTGCGGGTGGCATCTTCATGTCCTCCCTGTTCCGCGTCGACATCATAGGCGGAGGCCCGCGTTGGCTGAAGAATCCGACGCGCCCAAACTTGGGGGAGTTCGAGACCGACTGCCTCGTCACGTCGCACGCGGAGAGCTTCGTGGGGCACTACGTGCGCCAGAACGTCGCGGACCTGCCCCACATCCGCGTAGAGCACAGCACCGTGCTCGTGACGCACTCGGCCGAGGAGCGGGCCGTGTACCTGGGGCAACTCCACGACTCGCCCGCGCGGTCCGACGAGAGCCTCTCCTCCCCGGACGGCAGGGTGAAGGACTCGGCGTTCGAGGCCCTCGAGAGGCTGCTCAAGCTGTGCTCCCACTTCCAGCCCGGGGGCGAGACCAGCTCGGACGCCAAGGAGGAGTGCAGCCGGCTGGGCCAGAAGCGCGTGAAGCGGGTCGCCGCCGCGAGGGGTCGCGTGGAGCTCGGGTGCCGCATCCTCCGGCTGCTCAGCGTCAAGGCCGACGCCCTGGGCCGGCAGCCGCCGCCGGGGCCCGGGGCGGAGGCGGTGGCCCGCCTCGTGCAGACGGCGGGCGGCTGGCAGCAGAGCGTCACGGCCGCCGCGCAGGCGCTCCGCGCGCAGGGCGAGGGCGAAGCGGGGGCGAGCGTCACCGCGGCGAAGGAGCTGCAGGAGGTGATCACGGGCCTCGGCGGCGAGGACGAGGAGCAGCTCCTGAAGGCGATGGACGGGGTCCGACCGGCGAGCGGGGCGCTGCTGGCGCAGCTGGGGCCGTCGGAGCCGCGCCGCGGGTACACGCGGGAATGCTGGGGCGCATTCGTGGCGGCGCCCACGGAGCCGGGCGCGCTCGCGCCGCTCGTCGAGGAGCAGCTCTCGGAGGTCGCGGCCGCCCTGCAGGAGCTGAAGGACGCGCTGCGGAGCCACCAGTTCTTCCAGCAGGCGCTGGCCGCGCTGGCGGACTCGGCCGAGGCGAGGCACTGCTCGGTCTGCCTCGAGGACGACCTGCCCCTCACCAAGCTGGCGATCACGCCCTGCGCCCACAGCTTCTGCATCCACTGCCTGCGCAAGACGGTGCAGCAGTTCAAGAGCTGCAGTATCTGCCGGCAGCAGCTCAGTCCCGGCGACGTGGCGCCCGTCTCCCTCGAGCTGAACTCCAGCATTGCTGGCGCGGGCTCCTCGTCCTCGTCTTCGTCCTCACCGTCAGTGGCCGCTGCGCCCCCGCCGGCGCCCGAAGGCGCGCTTCCGCAGGACGAGCGGCTCCGGCGGTACGGCGCCAAGCTCGCGCTCTTAGTGGGGAGATTGTGGGCGCTGCGCCAGGCGGACCCGACCGCCAAGGTAATTCTTTTCGTGCAGTTCGACGACCTGAAGCGGAAAGTGGCCGCGGCGCTCGCGGAATTCGGGGTGCCCAGCGTCACGCTGCACGGCAGCGTCTCGCAGCGCGGATCTATCATCGACGATTGGCAGAACAACGCGGGGTCGTCCACTTTCGTGCTGCTGCTGTCCCTGGCGCAGAGCGCCTCCGGTACCAACCTCACCGCGGCGAGCCACGTGGTGTTCCTGCACCCCATGCTCGCCGAGACCGCCGACGTGGCGGTGGGCTACGAGGAGCAGGCGATCGGCAGAGCGGCCCGGCACGGGCAGCAGCGGGACGTGGTGCACGTGTGGCGCTTCGTCACCGAGGGCACGGTCGAGCAGACCATCTCGGACCGCAACATGGCGGCCATGGCGGCCCGCGAGGCAGCTGGTCACCGGGCGTCCGCGCCGGCCGCGACACGGGCGCGGCAAGGGCGCTGCAAAGGCCGCGGCAGAGGTCGAGGCCGCGGGGGGCGCGGCCAGGAGCGCCCTGCCAATGTCGCCGCTGTCCCCGACGAGGACCTTGAGTCCTACCCCGACCTGTCGGTAGTGGCTCCGACCCCGACTCTGCATGGAGTGGCATGGCCGCGCTGACCCAGGCGATTCGACCCCCGACAGCCTCGCGAGCCCACCTGAGGCGCACCCGGCACCCTGCCGCTTAGACGGGTGCTGCTTGGCAGCTGCTCTGCAGATTGGCCAGGAGGCGCCTTCCAGGAGGAGGGGTTCCTCTGCATGAGGGAGGGGGCGGCGGGAGGGGGACTCTTGGATTGTCGGCGCTTCTTCTGCCCCTCCGGAGCGCGCACAGTGGCCTGCATGCGGCGGGCTAGCTCCCACCCCTATCCTCCCCTCCCCTCCTCGCCCCCGTCATTCTCCTCCTGCGCTTCCGCCCCCTGTCAGCCGATCCGTCCCGCGTCGACGGTCTAGAGCCCTCTCGCCTCTCCCGGCGCGCGTATCACCAGTGCGACGACGCGACCGGCGCCATGGCAGGGCCGGTGCACGGGGGGGCGTCCACGCGCAGGTGAAAAAAATTAGCCTGGCGAAGGACCCAACCATGTGCAGTTGTGAGTAATGCTGGTGTGAGTACCGTCTTCGGTGGATCTCCCTATGGGGCCACGAACCGTTTGAGGGGTGTGCCGAAATGGGTGTGGGGGGGCGGCATGCGAACGTTGCCACTGGGGCCTTCGGTGGAGCTCCTTATGGGGCCACGAAACGTGTGAGGGGTGCACCGAAGTTGGTGTGGGGGCGGCATGCGAACGCAGCCACTGGGGCCTTCGGTGGAGCTCCCTGTGGGGCCACGAAACGTGTGAGGGGTGTGCCGAAATTGGTGTGGGGGCGGCATGCGAACGCAGCCACTGGGCCTTCGGTGGAGCTCCCTGTGGGGCCACGAACGTGTGAGGGGTGTGCCGAAATGGGTGGTGGGGAGGCATGCGGACCCTGCCACTGGGGCCTTCGGTGGAGCTCCCTATGGGGCCACGAAACGTGTGAGGGGTGTGCCGAAATGGGTGGTGGGGAGGCATGCGGACCCTGCCACTGGGGCCTTCGGTGGAGCTCCCTATGGGGCCACGAAACGTGTGAGGGGTGTGCCGAAATGGGTGGTGGGGAGGCATGCGGACCCTGCCACTGGGGCCTTCGGTGGAGCTCCCTATGGGGCCACGAAACGTGTGAGGGTGTGTGCGAAATGGGTGGTGGGGAGGCATGCGGACCCTGCCACTGGGGCCTTCGGTGGAGCTCCCTATGGGGCCACGAAACGTGTGAGGGGTGTGCCGAAATGGGTGGTGGGGAGGCATGCGGACCCTGCCACTGGGGCCTTCGGTGGAGCTCCCTATGGGGCCACGAAACGTGTGAGGGGTGTGCCGAAATGGGTGGTGGGGAGGCATGCGGACCCTGCCACTGGGGCCTTCGGTGGAGCTCCCTATGGGGCCACGAAACGTGTGAGGGGTGTGCCGAAATGGGTGGTGGGGAGGCATGCGAACCCTGCCACTGGGGCCTTCGGTGGAGCTCCCTATGGGGCCACGAAACGTGTGAGGGGTGTGCCGAAATGGGTGGTGGGGAGGCATGCGGACCCTGCCACTGGGGCCTTCGGTGGAGCTCCCTATGGGGCCACGAAACGTGTGAGGGGTGTGCCGAAATCGGTGGTGGGGAGGCATGCGGACCCTGCCACTGGGGCCTTCGGTGGAGCTACCTATGCGGCCACGAAATGTGTGAGGGGTGTGCCGACATCGGTGGTGATGATGATGATGATGATGATGATGATGATGATGAGGAGGAGGAGGAGGAGGAGGAGGAGGAGGAGGAGGAGGAGGAGGAGGAGGAGGAGGAGGATGATGATGATGATGATGATGATGCTGATGATGATGATGATGGGAGGAGGGAGGGGGGGGAGGAGGAGGAGGTGAGGAACGCGGGGCGCCGTCTCTTCAAAACGAGGACCCAACACCACAGGATGGTTGGGAAAAAAAAAACGGAATCCACCAGAGGACGAACCCAGGAGGAGAGGACCTATGCGGTTCCCTGTGGGCCTGCTAACCACGGCGGTCCGGGACATTGCAGCCGATCTGGTAATCTCCAGAACTGCGTACGTTGGCGATCGAGTAGCCGATGAGACTGGGGTCACGTTTGCCCTCGCAGGCCCCGACGCCTGGGAGCAGATCAAAGCCTTGGTCACGGAACGCAGAGACCAGCCTCCTGGGATCGCCGTCCCGACGATCCTCATGGTAGACGCGCAAGCTGCACAGATGGACGCTGCCCTGGCGGCAGCTTCTGCAGCGGGATGTCCTTGCTGTGTTCTCGCCCTGGCCACCGAGGGGGTGCCATCCCCTGGAGGACCCCATCGAGCTCGCGACCCTGGCAAACGCGCAGTGGGGGTACAGAGCGACCAGCAAGATCACTCACCTCGTCCCGATCGGTTACCCCTACCGAACCGGCAAGCCCAGCCCACCAATGCAACAGCTTTTTGCGGCACAATTCGACATAGCAGGCAGGACACTTCGCACAATTCTGCCCCCGTCAATAGTCGTACACTGGGGAGGGAGATCCGGGGACACCTCCGACGCTCTACACATCCTAACCCCCGAGAGCGGCAACGACGGCGTCGTCGCGCAGATCATGCGGTGGAAGGAAGAGCTAAGACAATCCAGCAACGGTATGATCACGGCCGAATGGGTCACCACGAGAGTTCAGCTCCCCAGGGACGAACTTCTAAGGCACCAGGGACTCGAGATGCTCTTCCATCACGTATTCCGCTGTCGGGCAGCAAGGCCCATGACTGGAGAGGACGGCCTACAGGCGGCAGCTCAAATTACCACGCTGGCCCACCAGACGGCGTGCATCTGGAGAACCCACGAGACGAGTGACTCAGTGCACATCCCAGTTTCCCCCAGAGCAGTATGCTTAGCCCATTCCATTGCTTCTGCGACAGCCGGGGCCATGGGACACAGAGTGGGCATTTGCGGGGCAGGACTTCTCCTTCTTGCTACTCCAGAAAGGATCGCCGCCCCTGTCCTGAGGCACCTCCGCGACGAGCTCCCGCGTATATTTGGAGACGGATCCTCCTCACCAACACTAGGACCACGCCGCATCCTCCTGGAAGGACCCTGGGATGGTGGACCCTCATTTGTACGCCTCTCCGACCCCGAGGATGGCTTCCACCTGCGGTGGAACCTGGCAGACATGGGACAAACACGGCCGGCTGACGTCATGCAAGCCGTAGAGGCCACCACCGGACCTGACACTGTCGAGCAAGTCTCCACTGTGTACGCCTGGTTCCCTGACGTCTCTGACTACAGGTACATGACACAAGTCCGCATACGCCTGGCGGCGGCAGACGCCATGGCAGCGGCCTTTGTAGGCACCAGCTGCATAGTGATCGGAGCCCAGACAGTCAGGATCTTCCCCGCGACGCCGAGCAGGGATCCCATGCACAGAGCGGCCGCTGTATCCAGACAGCAGCAGGAGCACGTGGACGCCCTGGCCAGCACCTCCGTCCGACAAACTCCCAGGCGCGCCACTCAGCCTCAAATGTTCGAGATCACCACGATGGATAGGCACGGCGCTCAGTTTGGAGAAGTTCGTCTTCGTAGCATGCGCCCAGATGCGTGGCTCCCTGGGCACAGCACGCTCCTGCTCTACTCAGCCGCTGTTGGCTCGGCGAATGCGCAGATACTAACTCGACTCTGGCCACTACCAGACGGCCCGAACGGTACCTCACACCCAGCCAACACCAGGGTCGCCCCACCTGTCATCACAGACGGCTGGCTGCAGGACAATGCCAGGGCAATGAGCAGGAGTGCGCCCAACACGGTACCCAACGAGTTTCATGGAGAAGGCCTGCGGGACTACGAGACCGTCCTTCAGCCCGGAGAATACCTGCTCGCGGCAGTAGCGGCCGGTGGAGCCGTTGAGCTTACCACGAGCGGCGAAGCTGGCTTCCTCTTCACCTCAGTCCCTACCTCGGTGACGATACTCCTACCCGCAGACGCCGACATTAGAGCAGCCGCAAGAGGTGCAGACAGACCACGAGCCAGACTGAAGTTACAGCTTGCTGCTGGTCCAATACACGTGGCACGCCTGGACTCCGCTCCCGCGGCGACCCCGTCCCCCGCTTCCGTGGGACTGCGGGTCAACGCACCTTCGCAGCAACCTCTCCCCAGGCGCACCACTGCCTCCCTCAACCCACTCCCTGGACCAGCCAGGCCCACGCACTTCCCAGAGCTAGCCGAAGTTCTCGTGAGCACATGTAGACCCTCCCCGGGCGACCTGGTGCGAGCAGACGAGGACGCCGTAGGCATCGCGCGAGGCATGTTGGGTAGATTCGCTGCAGTTGTCCCTGAGCAAGCGGTGCACGACATGGCACGGGGCGTGCAGCGCCGGATCGTTCTCGAAATCCGAAGGCACCTGGAAGGCCGGCCCATGCAGAGGTACAGCTGGGACATGTTTGCCGCACTCTGGATCCTGCAGCTAGCCAACCCGGGGAACCTGGACCGTGACCACGTGTGGCAGCTCATCCGTGAGCTCGGAATCCGAGAGGAGGTCACGAGACAGCTCCCTTTCACGCAATGGCTCGCGCCTGAACCCGACGCCACGTATTCGGCACACCAGCCATGGCTCGAGGTCCCGTGGTCTAGAGGTGCAGACGTAGACGCCGCCACCACGCATCCCATCCCAGAGAATGTCAGCAGCGCCCTGGACGCCCTGATCAACAGGCTCTCAAACCTCCACTGGGAGGAGCAGCAGCGCCACGATCCTGGTAGGGTGACTCGGGGGCGGAGAGGAGGCTCCCAGGCAGCCGGAACCACGGACGCGGGGGACAGGCCTGTTGATCCTCCAGGTATGAACGAGCGCAGAAGCCGCAGCCGGGCGAACACCGGGATGGACGTCGCAGGCACGCAAGCCAGCGTCGAGAGGCCGTCAGCCACCCCAGGTCCTGGCTCGACAGCTCTCCCGACAGGCCCTGGGTTGACGACAGCGCCGACAGTGCAGACATGGACAGGCCCCAACGGTGGATCTAATGACAGCCCTGTTATGAACGCGAGTGGGACACCACCGCAGACCTTGGCAGCTGCACCAGGCCAGGGTGCGGCGCCACCATCCCTGGC